TAGGGAGTGGCAGAGACTTCTTCCCTTTTTCCCACCGGCTGATCGTGCTCTTGAAGCCGAGTCCGGAGTGGGAGTTTGGAGTCCGGAGGCGGGCAGGAGAGGCTGGGCGAGAGACCCCGGCCACCCAGCCTCCACTCACAGGCGAGGAGAGGCTGCAGACGGGAGCAGGAGGACGTGCCGGCAGACACCATGCCCTCCCGCTGCGTGGCTGCAGCGTCCTTGGCTGTGGCCACCTCGCTCCATCTCATCCTCGCACACTGTGTCTCTCCTCCTGTCTCTCGCAAGGACCACGCCTGCGATTGGGATTAGGGCCCGTCCAGGCAATCCAGGGTCTCGCTCGAGGATCTTACCTTGATCCACCTGCGAAAGACCCTAATCCAGTAGGTTCGTCCACAAGTCCGAGGTGCCTAGTGGACTTTGTCTCTTGGGACCCGCCATTCTGCCGAGGATCCCCCGATGAACGCAGAATCGACGACCAGAGACAGAGCCCCAGGAGGGAATTCCCCAGGAAGAGTCCCGAAACCCGAGATCGCTGGTGCCCGCGGGGCCGGACAATGGGGGCTGGGAGCAGGTGACACATGTGGCCTGTCGGGCAGCTCGCCTCCACCCCGAGTGGGGGCATAGAAGGCAAGCTCCTAATGTTCTGCTGCCCCGGATGGAATCAGGCTACAAAGGAAGAGGTGAGAAGGTCCACGGATGTTGGGGTGGGCCCTCTGAGGTCTCTGGCGAAAGTGAGCGAGGGGAACTCTGCCCCAGCCGAACGTTAAAACACTCACCAAGCTACGTAAATCAGAGCCAGTGACGACCGGACGAAATCGTCGTGCCACAGAACAGCTCAGAGGCCAGAGCGATCAAAAGCCAGGATATTCGGCAGGGGCAAGGATGGCAGTTCAAATCAAAGCGAGAGAGGACGGAGTCACTCAAGAGCCCACCTGTGCTCGGAAGCCAGTAGCCACCTGGAAAACACAAAATCGCGCCGATGTTCTTGCAGCGCATAATCAACCAGAGGATCGGCAAGATGCCAACGTGAAAAATGAAGCCACAAAGTCCATAGGAAAAACAAAAAAGACAGAAGATATTTCTATAAGCTGAGGTGAGACCCTTCCTAACAATGACACAAAATACGAAAATCCACCATACAAAAGTTTTTTTAAACAAATTCAACACATAAAGGTAAAACTTCTGCCATAGCAAAGCCACCTTTAAGTCAAGGTCTGCTGGTTTAGTAGGCTGGGGGAAATATTTGTGAACATATCACACGAAGGGCGAACCTCTCATATGCAAAAGCTCCTAACAAAGTCAATTTTTCGTTTTTTAGAAGTTCACTTTGTTGCCTGGGCTAGAGTTGCGTGTGTCATGCCTAGCTACAGCAACCGTCAAACTCCTAGCTCAGCAATCCTCTGCCTCAGCTCCCAGGTAGCTGAGACACACAGGCAGGCCACCATGCCCCGCTATTTTTCTATTTTAGTTGTTTGGCTAATTTTTCTATTTAGTAGTAAGACAGAGTCTTGCTCTTGCTCAGGCTGGTCTCAAACCCTGAGATCAAGCAATCCTCACTCGCCTCGCCTCCCAAAGTGCTAGGATTACGGGCGTGACCACCCTCAACCATGGCCACAATCATTTCTATAAGGGTTATATCCAACAGGGGAGGAAAATGAAAAGGAAAAGACACGAACAGGAGGCTCCACGAATGAAAACAAAAGGCTCACGAACACGGGGGAAGAAGCTCCCTCTCACTCTCATGAGCGCAATGGACTCAAGGCACCGGCAGCGTCCCCGGTCGGATGGGTGGCGCTTTGACTGCACCTGTGGCAGTGCTGGAGGAGGGGGACTTGCGCAGGTTGTTGTAAATGAGCAGCTCACAATGGGCAAAACTGTCAGGATTGCACACGTCACGCTGTTTGCCTGGACCCCAGCCCTGGGTGGCATTGGTCCGGGCGGTGTTGAGTGTGACTTCCAGGAGTCAGTTCCCTGAGCTCATCCGAAAAACCCAGATGCCCGTCAGCGGGCTGCACAGACCGCACGCGCGAGAATTCGACAGCAGAAAGGCAGGAGGCAAGGAGCCTCAGAGTCTAGGCAAGGGCCGTTACCTAAGTCTTTTTTTTTTTTTTTTGAGACAGAGTCCACTCTGTGGCCAGGCTAAAGTGGTTGCCGTGGTCTCAGCCTACGCTCACAGCCAACCTCTCAACTCCTGGGCCAAGCGATCCTCCGCGCCTCAGCCTCCCGTAAGCTGGACTACAGCACGCGCAACCACCAGCCCGCAATTTTCTATATATTTAGTTGGGCCAATTAATTCTTTTCTATTTATAGTAGAGACGGGGTCGCCTCTGCTCAGCGCTGGGTTCAACCTCCTGTACTGAGCCAATCTGCCGCCTCGGAACCTCCCAGAGGCTAGGATGACGGGCGTGAGCCTACTCGAGAGCCTGTTCCAAGTTTACGTCATGAAGCCCAGGAGAGCGTGGTCTCACGGGCAGAGGGAGTGACGCAGCACGGACACGGGTGGAGGGACGGAGCTCCACAACACCTGCCCACCTGCCAAAACCTCATCTGGGAAGGGCCCACCGGGACACTGGGCCTCCTTTGTCTTGGGAGGGATGCAGGGGAAGCCCGAGGAGGACATGGTCTTCGTAAATTTTCCTGACTGCTTATTACCATGAACGACGCATACATAAGCGTGACGGAAATCGATTACCACGCGCACTGGTTTCTAATTTAAATCAAAAAATCGTAACTAACGATACGTACGAAAAATTAGTGTATGTTACGTATTCTGATTGGCATGACAAGTGAAGCTGCCTGTAACGTAAACCAAAGCTTCATGCTTTCAAGCTTGCCCTCCTCAACGCAGGAGCTAAGTGGATCCGTCTCAACTCACAGCGCCAACCGCCTGGCCGGACTGTGAGCGGGCCTGTGGGCGAGGTTCGTGGCCGGTGAGCGCAGAACCGCAGTGGTTAAATACAAATTCAACTCCAGGAGAGGCGCGGGCCCTGGGGGGAGGAGTGAGAGGTCAGGGTCCTGCCCCAAGCCAGCCACCTGGTCGGGGCTCTGGGGTGTGGAGGCAGGATGGGCCAAGGATGAGTTGCTTCATTCATTCATCCAACGCTGTTGTGCCGGGCAGACAGGTGCAGCCCTGACAAAGGTAGGCCCCGTCCTCTCAACTCAGACCTCCGGCAGAGGGACAAGAAAAAAGTCGCAAGGCGGTGTGATGACAATCCTTTGTGAACAGGGCCTGACTGTGGGGGCCACGACCAGAAGGGGTGGGGGCCCTGCCAGGCTAGCTGCTTGACTGCCTGGGTCAGGGGAAGGGGGTGAGCAAGGCCAAGGCAGGCTGACAGCCGCCCCTCCACCCAAGAGTCCACGGGTTCTGAGCGCTGGGTGAGGGACAGGCGTGGGACTGCCCTCGGGCTGGACATGCATGGAGCTGGGCCTTGGTGCATTCATCAGCAAGGCTCATTGCACGGCCATTCACCCGCTCCTGCTCCTGCATTCTCCGCCCTGCCGTGCAGAAAGGGAGCCCTGTTTTCCCACCCACCTCGTCCTCCCCAAAGGGAAGGACAATGGGGGTGAGAGGAGGGGGGGACCATTGGTGAGGCCCTGAGTGTTTTGCCATAAGCAAGTGCGCTCGTGCCTGAATGGGGCAGAAAGCATCCCAGGAATGCTGCCTGAGCTACTGAGGGCTGTGCCCCAGCACTGGTCAGCCCCAGACAACCAGGTGTCAAGGCCTCTGAGTCTTCCTGTCACTCCCTACCTGCCCAGGGCCCAAAGGGGGGCTTCTTGGCAGGGGGGATGGAGATTGGCTCAGGTTTTAAGCCCACCGGGATTGAGATCTGCCAGGCACAGCGGTAAGGTGTGCAGCTGACAACTCCCCAGGGAGAGCCTCGACCCTGGGGCACCACACTTGGCCCCACCCTGGGCAGCCTCCTTCTTGGCTTAGTGCGCCTCAGCGTAAAATGGGACAGAGACCCCCACCCCTAAAAGTACCTGCTTTCCGGGCCAAAGTGGTGAGATAGGGGCACGGGAGAGATGGGAAGTGAAAGGGACGACAGGGAGAAGAAGGAGGACATCACACAAGGGCGTGAGAAGGGACATGCG